ACTCTATTACGTTTAAGATGATAAATGGAATGATCATCGAGTTTTCTCGCAATCTTCTGAATAGACAACGTTTCCACTGCATTTTACATAACCGTGCTTTCCCAAAAGCAGTTCTTATCCATAAAGTAGTGGACTGCAGTTTCGACCTCGTCCAGGTCTCATCAACATCACCGGCGGGACTCGAACCATGACAGTGCAGCGTATAATCTCGACGCATTAGCTACTACACCACATTGCCACGAGCGCCTTTAGGTCATCTTCTACAAGGTCCTCCTTCCATTTAAAGCAAGCTTCGAATACGAAATCCTGCCAATTTCAAGATTTGTCAAATAAGCAGTTGGGTTATAGGCTTTATTTCTTCATTGATGTTCAGAGCACTCCAGTCAATTAGGCCGGAGAACATTATCTAAACATGAGAGGGGAAAAACTCCTATAGAGAAGAGCAGTCCAAGTAAGATTTGCGAAATTTGCCTCTCAATTGTAGTCAATCTAGGTTGGTTACAATTGGATTCTAAGAGAATTGTCAGTATGCCATCATAAGCGTTGGGAAATTAGGAATTTCACTATGCTCACGCGAGTCTACCTTGAGCTGTCAATCAAGATAGAGTGAAAGGAAGTGGATAATCATTATTTTTTAATTCTCAGTCTGTCAAAGATAATGCACACACATCCGCACTGATTGTCCACTGATGAATAGAGGAGGAGGCGGAGGAGAAGGAGAAAGAGAATAGGAAGATAAGAAATAAAAGGTGAAGAGAAAGAGACGTGGAGTAGAATGATGGAATAAGAAGAGGGAGGCTAAAGAGTGATGAGGAAAGAATGCAAGAATAACCGGCTGGAGAAGCAACACGATGTTTAGTGTGATGGAACGAGCTGATGAAGAGGTGATGTACAGAAGACGGTTTTGTTAGAGCTATAAGGTGTGCAGCAGTATGTACAAGCAGATTCTACCCTGAGGACAATTCAGAGTATTGCTAGCTTGTGGGGAAGCATCTCGCAATAGCCAAAGCAACTGACTTCAAAGAGAGCCAGTCGGAGGGTTGATTCTGCCCACAGAGCCTCGAGTGCATGTCAAGTTGGCCAGTCCCTCAGTTGAGTTATGTATGAAAAAATGGAAAGTTAATTGAGACTAATTGATACGAGGCTGATGATGATGATGAGGATGAGGATGATGATTCTTTTTTTCAGCTGGCGAGGAGAGTGAAAGCCACCGAGAATGGGAAGCAGCAGGAGTAGAATAGGCAAAAGAGGAAAACGAATTCGAGACGTCAGATTAGACGTCGATGCAACGGCCATTCATCATGGATCCGCTTGACGACCAGACAAGGATCTAAATTAGTTAGATCCAAACGCAAGTTCTTGCGTTTAAAAGTGGCCTCCATCTGCAGTGGGAATGCTCTCAAGATGACTAGGGCCCCCAGTAGCCCTACACATGACCCCTCCATTTCCCCCTTCATCTCCAACAACGGAGCCAACACCGGCATTTCTGCCGGGGATATTAGTTTCCATCAGCTCTGCCGAATAGGGGGTCAGCATAAGCTGACTCGCGAATGTTGAGACCTCGCGGGTTTCAAGACATTCTGTGTCATTCTCTTGAATGTCACCTTCTTCCTCTTCCTCGTCGTCATCGTCTTCTTCTTCGTCGTCATCGTCTTCGTCGTCATCGTCTTCTTCTAAGTCGTCACCGTCGTCGTTCTCTTCCTCCAGTTCCTCATCTTTTCTCGCCTCCCCAATCCGGCCATGCTCTCTCTCCGTTTCTTCCTGCTCCTCATAGTCTTCATCCTCCTCCTCCTCCTCCTCTTCCAGCTCTTCTGTATCGTCATAATCCTCTTCCCGTCCCCCTATTTTTCCATCCTTCTTGCCTTCGTGTCTCCCTTGGACCGCTACCCTCGAGGCCGAAAGTGTACACTTCTGTCGCTTTAGTTGCTCTGAGCCATTGTAATCCTCTTGCCTCGATTGTCTTGCCTTCTTCACAGAGTCTTCTGGCCAGTTTCGACGTCCGCTCGGCATCTCTGTCGCATCTGCCGGTTGGCCACGCTTATTCGACAGCGCGAAACGACCCGACACCCATTCACTCGGTGCCAGCGGGCCACCAGCATCTCTACGACCGAGTGTCACAGCTGCTGTTGCCGTTACCGTGGCGGCTGCAGCTGCGGCTGTCACCATGGCAGCCGCAGCCGCAGCCGTGGCCAGATCCACCAGACCACTGTTGAGTCGGCCGTCATGGCTGTTGACAGTCGATAGACTGGCTGTCGTCACCGGCAGGCAGTATTGGTATCCAGACTTGCGAGCGGTCGACAGTGAAGACATCTGGACTGCTGGTTCGTGAGTCACTCGGCCAATGGCAGCTCTTTGGGTTGTGTCGGTATTGGTGCTGGCGGGGCTAGTTGAGACGGCGGGGGATATGCTCATCGTACCTGCCACGGCAGAGGCAGCGGTGG